TGGGCGCTGTGAAGGGTTGCCGGGGGCGGGGAGGGGGGGGCCCTACTGCAGAGCGGCCGCCGGGGGGGCCGGGCTGCGCCCCCCGCTAGCCGGAGAGTGAGCGGTATCTCCGGGGGAAGTGGTAGCGTTGTGGGGGAGCTGGCCGGGGGCTGGGGGGAGAAGCGTCGGTGCCCCCCCCCCTAGCCTGCCGCTGTTGTCCCAGCCGCCCCTGCGGCACCCGGCGGGGAGCACCTGAGGAAAACACGAGCCCAAAACTGAGGGGCAAAGTCGGTCCGTGGAGCTCAGCGATACCTGACAGGCCACACCGTCCTGGGACAGCGTCAGGGCGAGCCGCTGGGCCGACTTGGTTATCCTGGTCTGGTTAACGCCATCGTTTCACTTACCCGTCAGGACTGCTGTATGAAAGTGATTTTATTTCCTAAACTTCGGTGCGACCGAGCCTCTCAATGCCGTCTGTCACGCACTTGCTTTCTACGGTGCCGCAGTAGTGTGTAATTTTGACGGTTCGGGTTGCTGCTAAAATAAATCAGTCCACTTTTTAACTGTCTGATAGATATGCTTTGATTTTTTCTTGTTAATCTCTGCGTATCTGTCATTTTAGCTTCTGGTTGGAATGTTCAAGAAAGTGAAAAAGGACCAAAAGGTAACTAAAGGACAAGTACGTTTTAGATGTGCCTCTTCAACCATACCTATTATGTTAAAGGAAGTTTTACTTTACACTTGAATTTATCTTTTAATGGCCAAAGATTTTTTCTTTGCACAAATGGAACCTGAAATACAGGAATATTTTTTTAAGGAACATATCAGATGCTATAATCTTGCTGTCCTTGGACAGTTTCATATTGTTTTGTTATTTGGGCACAGTGCTGTACATTAAATGATAATAGTACTGCCTGTACTGTACCTTCAGTCCCAAAAAACCTCATGCAATGGTGTCTTTAAATATGCGGCACCACGATTTCCAGCAATGTCTAAAATGATCATCCTCATCTGCCTAAGGAAAGGAATTTTACTTTACTGAATATAAGTAGTAGAAACAGAGGAAGTTGTTCTCTTTCTTCCTCAAGCATTTGGGGGTATGAAGAAAATGTCTATTTAATGCTTACAGGAAAACATTGCAGTTGAATGCAGTTCCTCATTTGGTTTGTTCTCTGTTCATTGATTCAATTATGAAGTGCGAAAGATTGATGACTGAGGATTGTTTTTGAACATGATCTGTAAGATTCATGCTGAGGACTTGTTGGAGAGAAAGTACAGCAGTGGCTCTTGAAAGTGAGTCAGCACCTCTCCTTGTCTGGTCTTCTTTGGGGTTGCAGGTCTCCCTGAGGTCATTAAGTGCCTGGAGTGTGTTATGGTGTTGCCAGAGTGTAGATCTCTCCACGCCCCTGGATCTGCCAAGGGATGGACCGAGAGTGCTGGTGTTTACTCTGAGAACACTAACCCTCATCGTGCTATGGCTATGGAAAACTATGCCTTAACATCATTTTTTCAGACCTAGGAGCTTAGCAGCTCTGGCTTGCTAAATCAAAGTAATGACACTGGCCTTCAGAATAATTATGTAGCTATGCATGGTCAAAAGATGAATATTTTAGTTTTATTAAACTGCTCTGGCACGGTGCTTTCAGTACTCACTGATCACCTTCTTTACTTTCATGGGTTCATCTCTAAGCACCCTTGAATTTGCTGACGTGTTCTAGCAGGCATAAAGAAATGTTTCTTACTGAGACTTAAGTCAGCTTTTCTTCACTTTCTTCCTGTTTTTCATGTTCCGGGCTATTCCTTTAGGTCAGTGTTGGCTAGTTACAAAAACCTTGGTCACGTGGCTGCAGCCACCTGATGAAAAAATATGTAACCCATAAGTTCCCTCACCTGTGTTTAAAGTTGCTGTTGCAGTATCTAGACAGCACAAGCTTCTGACCAAAAAATGTCCTTTTGGCTGTATGATAACATAAGTACCTTTTCTTTTTCACGCCCTTTGGTAGAAGTTAGAAGCCACTCCTGTTTGAGGAGGTCATGTCTGTTTAAGTTATGTCTTCTGTGACGCCTTGGGGTCCTTCTTTCAGTGTTGTACTACTTATGGTGAAAACTTACTTATACCATCTGAATTTCCTGTATTGCAGTTTGTCTTGTCCCATCACTGTGTGTTTCCAAGGAGGCTTCATCCTTCTATGCCCTCACATTAGGTAGTGGTGGACAGCAGTTAAGATCACCCCAAAACCTTGTTCTCTTAAGGTTGAACAAACCCAGTTTCCTCTGTTGCTCCTTGCATGTCATATCCTCCAGCTCCTGGCAATCTTGTGGTCTTTCACTGGACTTAAGGATGTCAATGTCTTTCATACGCTGGAAAGCCAAAAACTGGACACAGCACGGTATTTCACACAAGTTGGTGCAGAATATATAATTTTTCATTTTGAACGTTGGTTACTTCCATATTTTGTAGCAACAATACTAAGAAATCTCAGAATTTTAAACTACATGTTTGCTTAGCATGAGAGTATCATAGCTAGCTAAAGTAAGATCACTTTTGAGGCAGAAAAGGTTCTCTTGTAGAATTCCAGTGCAATACTTCTTAAAATACATGAGATGGCAGCAAATACCAGAACCGAAGTGTTGCTAGCCCAAGGCAGAGAAGCTGTTGGCAATGAGACAGATTTTGCCGTGCTCCTGGTGTTATTGTCAAGATTGTGCAGGTTACTGCAATTTTTGTTATACCACATCGAGTTAGAAATCAGGACATGAGTGTTGGCTGTTCAAATGTAATCCTGGCTGAAACTTTCTGTAGCCTATATGTTTAATTAATAGTGCACAATTTAGTGATGTTGCATAAAATATGTTGTGCAGGCTACAGAGGATAAATAACTTTTTTTTGAACAATATGTATCTTTTGTCAATTTTACTTCTTTTTTCATCATGCCTTCATCTTAAAACTGTTGATAGCAATATGCAAGCTTACATCTCTTAGTGTTCTGGAAATTCCTTCACCTATGGAACTTTATAGTTGTTAAACATTTCAGTAACATCAAGTTCGGCGTATTTAAACAGTGAATGATGCACAGTAAAAACAGTAACGGTACAAACAGGGAGTTAGTTTACCCAGGGATATGGTCATTATGTAGCTTCCTTCTATTAATGTTGTTATATACAGATCAAAAGTGCTTTGAGTGCTCCAACTCAGACAGGGGTTACTGGCTTGATGTAAAAATTTCCGGAATATCTCTGCACCTCGCACAAAGGTGTCCTGTTTTGGGATGGAACAAAAAACCCTTTCTTTTCAGTTATTTTACTTTTCCGTAAAGTCCCTTCTAACTGACTGCGCTGTCTGAAATCAAGGCTGTGTTTTTCAGACGCTGTCTGCTTCTGGCAGTGATAAGGTCTGAAGTTTATAGTAAATGCCTAGGAATGGTATGCAGAGAGGCTCATGTTTATACTCACTGCTACAACAACGAAGGTCAGCTAACTTCGTTATGTCTCACATTGGAGGGTCAGAAACAGCAGGGTGTAGAGGGGTCAGCTGTGGGGAGAAGCAGACAGGACAGGTGACCCAAAACTGCCTCACATGGTGTTCCATTCCCTCTGCACCATGCTCAGTATAAAAGCTGAGGGATCAGAGGGGTCAGCCTCTTTCTTCCACGGCCAGCATCTGAGGAGGACTCTGTTTGCCTGCCTTTGATCCCAATCCGTGCATTCCTGACTCCAGACTCAGAATCCAGTTCCTGTCTGCTGCTGAGTCCAGTCCTGGTGGTTGCTGGTGACGTGATTGTCATCCTAGGAGCTCAATACTGGTTTTGTATATATTTGTATATATTTTATTATTTTCTTATTTATATTATTATATTTTATTTTATTAATAATATATCATCATAGCTGGTGTAGGTTTTTTTTCAACCCTGTCGCGGACGGAGTGATTAACTTCACTAGTTAGAGTGAAGCAGAGAAATATTTATTAAGGTGAATCAGTGATTTACCAAAACCAGTAGTGTGATAAAACCAGTGGTAAATGCGATAGTGTTTACAAGATTCGATGTCAGGGTACACTCTATGATTTACTGCACAGAGGACAGGGTCAGACAGAACTGTCAGGGAGACCCTCCCGTTGAGTCACGAGGTTCAGAAAGGACCCCCTGGCTTTCTAAACTCCTTCTCAGAGAGGAGTCTGGGTGCGGCTGGATCCGATCCTAGTCCCAGACTTGGTCAACGGTTTATGTCTAAAGGATGATATATGCACAATTAATCCTTTACATTACTTAGATAAAATTTCAAAGTTTAGCATGCTATTAGTCACTTACCAAAACTCTGTTGCGGCAAGGATTCCCTCAACCTCAAGGAGTAGAACCGGAAACTCTGTTGCGGCAAGAAATCTCTCAACCTCGAGGAGTAGAACCTTCAGTGAGCATCCTCACCAAAGGGGAGATCCTGGCGTGCAGCCCGCTGCCATCCAGGAGAGCTCAAAGGGCTCTTGGGCTGTCCACTATTTATACAGTAAGATAATTGACCTATAGTCATATTTTCATGGCAACAAAATTTCTAGGTCCCCTCTCCAGACAGTATTTTGACTCTGCTGCCAGCCATCCCCCAGAGACCGGGTGCAAGTTATCACAGCTGCTGTTGTGATGGCCGTGGTGGCCAAGGCCGGGCAGGAGCCGAGAGGGAGAGGGGGGCGCAAACCAGGGAGAGCACACCGCCACAAACCCATAAGCCTTTCTCCACTATTCTATCTCCCTTCCCCTTCTGGGGAGACAACATCTGTTGTTCATTTAATGGCTAGCCCAGCCTAAGCTTTGGCACAAAGGCCAGACTAGATATTCATAAATACAACTTC